AGGTGGTCAGAAAGAAAGGGTGGGCTGTCAGCCTGCCTGCCCACATGAGCTACAGCCCTACACGCTCGACCACAGCCCTCGAACATAAAATCAGCTTTTTAAATTAACAGTGTAAAACTTTGTGTGAGCTGCCACATTTTCCCATAGTCCCTCTGCCTCTTCAGGAAGGTTCTCCAAGCTCAGGGTGGTAGTGAAGTAGTGTGACACACTGGGTGGCACATGGTGAGCAGTTTTGTCCCCCTCCTCTCTACCTCTCAGTCAGATGGTCTTTAATGATTTGACAGAAATCTTTGCCAGCACCACGAGCTATTAATAATTCTGCTCCCTCGTCTCCCACTTTACCTCTTACCGTCCTAACTCCAGTCTCCTATTCCACACACAACATCCTTAAAAAGCCTTGTTTACACTCATTTCTTCCTTGTGACTCTATGCCTTGGCCTCCATACTGTGAAACTTTGTGGATATGAAATTGTCATGTTTCACATCTGGCTCTAAACAGCCCACAAAGCAATGAGCTAACTTTATTTTGCCTTTTGGAAACAGGCCTCTTTAGGGAGTCAAAACCTGATCAACATGTAAACTCCAGACACTACACAACAGCGTCACATTTGTGAAGCCTTTTTTTCTACCAAACAAGCTGCTTTTTCTACAGATAGAAGTTTAGTTACCTGTTAATCTAGTCCAGATTTGGCAAGTGTAATGGTTTTAGACCTAGTCCCGAACTTACATGGCCTCAGTGCTGAAGGAACAGTGAATTTTAGTGTTTTCTGGGATAAAATAAACATGTCACAAATTAGAAAGTGGGTTTTAGACAGCCTTGAGACTATTTATTATAATATTTAATTGGTGTAAAACAGTAAAAATCCTTTATCTTTCCTTGACATTTTCTTCATAAGGTTATGAAACATTTGGAAATTCATGACTTACCTTTATCCATTCAGAGAACGCTGGAAATCAGGTCAAAGAAAGCTGTGCCAATGTGACCCAGACGATGACAGTGTTGCCCAGTGTTACGACTGTAAAGGGTGGACACAGTCGGGGCTCGACGGACACCAGGCCTCCACTGCACCACAAACTGATCCAGAAAGATCAGAACAAGAAGACTCAGAGCTACAAGGTGGAATCAGTGTCAGGGGGAGCCAATATGGACATGCACAACTTCTCCCTGGAGAGTAAGAGGGAGACTGAGTATGTGAGTTACACACAAAGGCAACCATGTTAAAAACTGTTACGATGTTGCTGCTTTAAAGGAAAAACTGTTCTGGAACAGACATAAAGACGTTTGTTGACTGTGACACTACTGTGTTTACAGATTAAACATGAAAGGGTCTGAAAACTTTCCATACTGATCATACCTTCAGCCAAATTCAGATGTAAAGCTGGTGGCGTTAACCTTTTGAAAACAGACATGAACAGAAAAATCTCTAAAGGACCAGTGAAAAACAACTTGCTTAATTTAAACTAGGGCGCTTAGTAGCTATTTTAGTTGCTAATTTACAGATAATTTCTATTTACCTTTGGACAAGTTCTGGTGTTTCAAAAATGCAGCCACTCTCTATTTTTTCTGCTGTTAACTGCTCTGGCTGTCATGTATGTTTATCTGTGTCTCACTAGGAAAGCGTGGTATTGGTGCTGCCATTGTTTATGAATTGGTAAGCGTGGACGATGACATGTCCACATGTTGCATTATTCAGCCGTTTTCAGACCTGGGTCAGTTAAAAATGCTGGCTTCGTCAGTCTGTTAAAGCCAGGCCAAGTTCAAAAATGGGTGCAACAAAAATCTAAAGATCAGTGCAAGACAGGAACAATATGTCTGTGCAAAAACCAAACTAGCTGTGGGAAATTATTTTTCTAACTGTGACAGTAGTTAGAGGCACTGTTAATGGCACATTTAGATAACAGTGGTGGCTCTGATCACCATAAACGTGTAGAATTGTTTGAACTTGCCTCGTGTTCTTCGTATGTGTGATTACGTAAGGATGAAGTGTAATTTTAGTGTCATCGGGGTGTGTTTTCCCACTTGCTAGGGGCCATGTCGGCGGGAGATGGAGAGCATTATCAACAGTCTTAAAATCAGCAGTGTGCTCAACCCGAGAGGCTTCAACATACCCAACTGTGACAGAAAGGGCTTCTACAAGAAAAAACAGGTGAATGGCTCTCCGTGCTGCTTTTTGCCTTTACTGTCTCACACACCTGTGGACATGCAAATAGACCCACCGCATGCCTGAACACTTCCAAAGAATCCCGGCCATCTCATCCCACCCACCCACACAGACACAATCCCCTTTTTCTTTCCTGGCTCAGGTTGCCTTGACAGCCACATCAACACTGTATTATCAGAATGGATAATAACCATTTATTACTCCAGTAAATGCAATGTAGCTGTCTGACTCATGCTTCATAGGAAATGAAGTCGGTCAGGTGTGTTTGTGGGTGTGTGGTGTGGTACACTGTGGTGGTTTGGGATGTTAGAATGTGGTCTGGGAGTGTGTGTGGCGCAGTAGATGTGGTGGCAAGGGAGCGCATGGATGGCGCTTGTTTGATGATGGTAGTTTTGGTGTGGGTGTGTAGGTGTGGGATGCTGTTGGTGAGGGAAAAAAAAAAACAAACAGGCTGTCGCTGGTTTTGTTTTTCTTGCCCGTGGTGCAGCAGACTCAGGCCACCCATATCCTGCTCATTTGTAAGATGGGAAAAAACAAGGAAGCTGAGATTTGTTGGAATCATAACTGTAGGTGGGTGACATGTGCTGACCTGACAGGAGGAGGGGTGAGATGGGGAAGGAGGTGGATGGACAGGAGAGGGGGTGCAGCATTGCTTACACATGCAGTGCAGTGTGTCAAATACACCGTCCCAAGGATTAGGAGCCTTATCGGACAGATTCCACTGAGCTGTAGCCTTTCTGAGAAACACATGAGTCACCAAAAACCCCCACAAGCACCATGAGTCAGAGACCGACTTGAACCCTAAGAGACATACACACCGAATAAAATCATCTTCCCGGATTCTTACGTCACTCTTTC